AAAATATTGTTTATGGACGAAGGCGTCTCTGATCTGTGCCTCGATACGAACAAGGTGGTCTGTGGTGGATCTACCTTCTCGAAACCCGCACTGAAATGGGTCGAGCAAATTATTTGTTTCAAGGAAATGTACAAGTCGGCAGTTTATCATTTTTTCGAAGACTTTGCACAAGCAGCTTGTAAGTGCTATAGGCCTATAACTCGAGGGTAAAGAAGGGTCTTTGCCCTCTTTCAAAATGGGAATAATAATAGCCTCTTTCCAGGAGGCAGGGATAGCGCCAGAAAACCAGATAGCATTGTACAAACAAAGTAAGGTTTTTCGTGTTTCGATTGGTAGGTTTTTTAACATTTCATACACCACACGGTCAGAACCTGGGGCAGAAGTACTGCAGGAGTTTAGAGACATTTGCAGCTCAGCTAGACTGAAAGCTTGGTTATATGCCTCAGATCTAGTGCATTTGTGTTCAAGTTTCTGCTTTTCTATTCTTGTTCTGTATTTTTGGAAAGTGTCAGTATAGTGGGATGAGCTGGACACCTGTTCGAAGTGTGCACCGAGGAAGTTTGCCTGATCTTCCAAGGTATCACCCCGAGTGTCCACGAGTGGAAGTGTGTGTACTTGTTTTCCTGCTATCCTACCGACCATGTTCCAGACTTTAGCCTCCTGTGTGTATGAATTGATCCCTGACAAAAACTTCTGCCAGCTTTCTCTTCAGGCCTGCCGACGCGTTCTCCTGCCTTGAGACTTTATTTTCTTGAAGGTTTCAAGATATTCGGCTGTCGGTGAGTTCCGAAGCAGCCTCCAAGCTCTGTTTTGCTGTTTGCGCGCGTTTCGGCATTCAGAGTTCCACCATGGCACACGCCATTTTCCTGGGTGCCCATTTGTTTGTGGGATGCATTTTGTTGCAGCATCAATCAAAAAAGCTGTGAAGTAGTCGACAGCAAAATCAATGCTTGAAGTACATATGTCACTCCAATCTATACGAGCGAGGGTAAGAAACCGTTCCCAGTCGGCTCTGTTTATGAGCCAGTTGGGAACACGGGGTGTACACTCAGTTGCTGTAGTTGTGCTCAAAACTACGGGAAAGTGGTCACTTCCGTACAGATTACTGACGACTTTCCACTGGAGCAGAGGCACAAGAGATGGAGATGCTATGCTTAGGTCTATGGAGGAGTAGGTGTTATTAGTGAGATTAAAATAGGTTGGTTCTTTTCGATTCAGGAGACACGCGCTCGACGAGAGAAGGAACTGTTCGATCAGTCGACCTCGCGCGTCATACCGAGAATCACCCCATAGCCTGCTATGCGCATTGAAGTCTCCAAGGAGAACATAGGGCTCCGGAAGTTCATCAATTAAAGAGTATAAATCACGTTTTTGCAGCTGATAGCTAGGAGGAATGTAAATACTGCAGATTGTGATCAGTTTATCAAAAAGAACCGCTCGAACAGCCACTGCCTCAAGGGATGTTTGGAGTTGTAAGTGTGCGCATGCAATTCCTTGATTTACTATGATGGCAACACCTCCGGATGATGTCATGGCATCATCTCGGTCCTTTCGAAAAATAACGTATTTACGAAGAAAATTTGTGTGTTTTGAATTAAGGTGTGTTTCTTGTACACACAGCACTTTTGGCGAGTGTTCATGTAAGAGTTCTTGGATGTCGTCAAGGTTCCTGAGGAGGCCCCTGACGTTCCATTGTATAATTTGAGTGTTCGTGATGAATGTAAAATAGTGCTGTGTGTACGAAAAGCGAGTGGCTGTTTAGACAAGGAATTTGAGTTCACTTAACAGGGCCGTCACCGGGCCCTGTTATTTGCTTTTTCGTTTTCTTGGTGCGCTCCAAGGAGCCACGCCGCTCTTTCGGCACCAAGGGCGCCGACGTATCCATTGCCTCCTCGGAGGCACTGGATGCCCGCACATGCGGGCTGTTAGTTCGGATTACGGGCCTCGCCTGGTGAGGGGAGGCCTTGAGACCCGAGGACTCTGGAGTCTCCGGTCTCTGTTTTGGAGTAGGCGATGTAGCCTGGGCTACAGCCGCCTTGGGGGCAGGTGCCACAACCGTCGGCTCGGTATGCGCGGGCCGAAGGAGTGGCGAAGGCTGGTGCGGCGGTTCCCCCTGACGCGCCGCATCAGCGTATGTAGGTCCATAGAATGGAGCGACTCTTCGCCGTGCTTCCTTAAATGTTATGTTCTCCTTTACCTTTAATGTAATTATTTCTTTTTCTTTTTTTCAATATGTGCAGGAGCGTGAATATGCGGCATGGTTTCCTTCGCAGTTTGCACAGTGTGGCGGTTGTTTGCAGTTCTCAGACACGTGGCCTAGGACTCCACATTGTGCACAGGTCTGGCGACCACGACAGGTTTTAGAGCCATGGCCATACCTCTGGCATTGGAAGCAACGACGAGGGTTTGGTATATACGGCCTGATAGATGTCTTGGTGTACCCTGTTTGAATGGTATCTGGTAGCTTACTGGATGCAAACGTGAGTATTAAGTGTTTCGTCGGTATTTCCTTATTATCTCTTCTGATGATAATTCTCTGTACATTAGTGACGTTTTGGCTCTTCCACCCTTCCAAAAGTTCAGTTTCGGTGAGTTCAAGTAGGTCTGCATCAGATACCACTCCGCGAGTGATGTTCATGGATCTGTGTGGTGTTACGGTGATCGGTACGTCACCAAACGTTGAGAGGCTGTCTAGCTTTACAAATTGTGCTTTGTCCCGAATTTCTAGGAGAAGATCTCCGCTAGCCATCTTCGTTACTTTGTATCCAGCCCCGAGAGTTTCAGTAAGACACCTGGCAACTACGAAAGGAGATACGGTCCTGGCTTGCTTTCCGGTTTTTTCACAGCGAATGACGTGGTAGTGGGGAAAAGTTTCTATTGGCTGGTTGAAGAAATTTATGTCGTCGGTGCGTACCCGCTTTAGGCCGGTACGATCAGACAGTTGAGGGAATGCTCCATGCATGCCGGTCTTATTTTTGTTCAGCAGCGTTGGCGGCCACCCACCACGGAGCCCAACAAGGGGACGCTGCAAGTTCGCAGGTGCTGAAAGCTTGCAGACGTCAGCCGTACAACACTGCCATAACCCAATGCGCCTAGACCAAGGTAGGCTATTTGCACAGGGTTAACCCTTGCCGCCAGGAAAATTGGAAGTAAACAGAAGAGAGAAGTAGACAGGAAAGCTAAAAAAGTAAGAAAGACGAAGATGTAGGGAGAGAGAGATAGGAAAAGGCGACTGCCGATTTCCCCTGGGTGGGTCAGCCCAGGGGTGCCGTCTACGTGAAGCCGGGGCCAAAGAGGTGTGTTGCCTCTGCTGGGGGGCCTTAAAGGTCCAATCACCCAGCGTCAGCTCAACCCCCAGGATCCCCTTTTCCCCGGGCACGGCAAAGCCACGCACGGCTAGGCGTGGGAGGGAGTAGAAACTCCCCCGTTAGCTCGGGTCCGTGGTGTCGCTACACACCAAACGCCTACTTGCGCAGGCGCCCCTGCGGGGACCCTTCAGTTTAAGCAGTGGCCTTGTACAAGCGCTGACACAAGCCGATGCTACGAGAACAAAAAATTGAAGTGTCGCCGACGTGTTAGTAGCCGCTTTGTACACACAAATGCCCGTGATAAACCAGGCAAGCTAGTGGTGGTGCTCTGGTGCAATGGATATCGTGTTTGCTTTGAGTGCATGTGGTCCAAAGTTCATCTTTGGTCATGCGCACTTGTGTACAAGTGTCATGTTTGTTTGTGAATGCGTGAATGTCCATCTTCTAATATGTCACTGCGATAGACAATTGGAAGAAATGTCTTCGAAACAATAATTTTGTGCCTTAAATACTTTGTTTTCTTGGTCGCGTCTAAAAGGGTAGTTTTAAGGCTCTCAAGAGAAGCAGAAAAACTTCCACTTCACTCCCATTAAGTCCCCGATTCAAGTTAAATAAACACCGACGTTAGCTTCTAAGTTAAATCTTTTAACCCCATTTACTTCGTAAGCAAACCATGTTAAGCCTTGAGCCACCACAAATCGGCCGTGTATCTGAAAACGAAGCTATTTTATCGGCAATTAACAGATAGCAAAGCTTCATTACTTAATTCTAGATCAAATAAGAGCAATATTTGTCCATAAATAGATTTAATAAAGCAGGCTGACCACTAGAAAGATTTGAAGTGGACGGTTCTCACTTCAGCATGCTGTTCAAACGAGGAAAACAAAACACCCTAGAGACCCTACAAAAACACCGCAAACAAAGTTGTTAGTAAAAACCAAATTTTAAAAGGCGTTTCATTTATTACCTTTGAAATGTACGCTGAAACACGATCAAAAAGCTCCTTAAAATGCTAAAACAGTTTTACAGTGACCACGAACTTTTATTTATGATCATAGACGTCATTCGTCGGGTCTGAGATGTGTCAACAGGCACCAACATCAGTGAATTCTGTTCAAAGGGTGCCTGTAGCTGACAAAACCAATAGGCATTGTGCTAGCGCTCCTACTTCAACGTACGCGCAAAACAAACCTTCAACTGCTTCTGTGAGAGAACACTTGACTTCCACGTTACACCTTATCTGATAACTTGAGATTAAAGACGCTTTCATATTATTTGGCTGTTTTTCTTTTCGGGTGGCAGTTCTGGTGGCAATATCTATTTTCTGTGGTCACTCTTGCATTTTAGAATTGATAAATAAATGATATATGAGATATTGATTATTTATGAATGCGATGTTTTAGTAGAGAATTGATGAAACTGTAGCACCCTATGGTGAAAATACTGAAGGGTCGAATTACTTTCCAGTAGTCTTAGCGTCAGCAACACAATTGTCCTGTTCAAAAAACATGTGTATGCGTATTGCGTAAAAGTTAGCAGCATGATCGATCATGCCACATTGGAGCTTAAGAAATATCTTTAGATCAGGCATGTTCACCCAGAATTATAATCTTTTTTTCTAGCTAGAACACGAACCGTTCATTTAGTTTCAACAGCTTCATTACAAAACAGTATTTGAAACTTATGGCTTACCAGGTAATTGTGACTCGCCTCATGTAGTCATGACATGTAACGTTTGCACATGGGCACCGTAGCCGAGTAACTTGATTTGGCGGAATAGGCAGCGGTCCCTCAGTGCACATCCCTGGAGAAGGAAACAAAGACTAATAAGTAACCCATGATACTAAATAGAGAATATTGGTACTGAGAAAAACCACCTGAAAGAAGCAATGTGTGCCAAGAGAACGGCGCCTCAATAATGGCACAACACGCACAACGCGCTGCATAAAATGATTAGATGGGTAGTGGCCCATTCTGCACGCTGAGAAGAGAGATTATCAATGATGCAATTGAATATTAACATTACGCGTGCTTCCTATCTCATAACTACACTTCCCATATTCGTGCTGTACTGCATGACGGGTACAAGCTGTTTACTTACAAAGCACGCGACTTTTATGCACTCTAACTTTTTCAGGTGCCCGGGACGCTGTGTTGGAGGGCTCCAAAAAATTTTACAACCTGGGTTCGTTTAGCATGTACTATTATTAAAGCACAAGGGCCTCTGGAAATAACACATTCATCGAAAATGAAAGTGTCCGGCCGACATTCGATCCCACGAACCACCAGTCAGCAATTCAGCGCCTTATCCACTATATTACAATTTCAGCTCGTATAACATGATGAATATGAGTTATGAGCTACGTCGATGTAACCAACCGAGTGTTGATACGCTCTGAGTGGTTTAGCCGGGGCGTTGTGCAGGCAATCGCCTTGTGAGGTCTGCACTGCATAAGCATCGTATCTTGGCGGCATGATTGGTTCACGTTCCGGCTTCTATCTATCAAACAAGCGTGCGGGCACACGTCAGCTTGATCTGTGCTGCCTTGGTGAAGGCCAAAGCACTGTTCCTTCGCACATCGTTAATCACATAAATTCTACCTCAGTCAAGACAACGTAGGACAGGCCAGCGTATCCTTCACTGTTTCAAGTGATAAAAAAAACTCTGTGTATTTTTCATAACGAAAGGGTTCATGCGGAATAAAATATCAAACCAGTAAAACACCAGTAGCTGTCCTCAAGGATACGTAAAATGCCGCATTCTCACAGGCCTTTAGAAAAAAAGAACACGTGCTGCTAGATGGCATGTTGTAGAACTCATATACTTGTCACCACAAACGCTCGCCGGAATGTGTCCGAAGGGACGGCAGAAATTCGACAAAAACAAAATATTCAGTGGCGAATGTGGAAACTATAGTGTGAAGCACAACTCGAAGAGTTGCAATCGCCACGGCGTTATCGCGTGTCAGATACCGCTGCCATATGGCAAGAAGCACATTCATCGCACTAAAGAAGCATAAACGATCTAGTCGGAAAATGCAAGGGTTCTTTTATAAGAGACACTGTCATTTTAGTGTTCCACTCATCGTGTCGAATGCGGCTGTCTACAAACCATTCACATTAAACCCAATAACATGCAAGAGCACTAACGGGATCTTTCTTATAGAGAACAAGTATGACGGGGGTTGCCTTACCGGCCGTTTACCTACGTGATGATTTACCAGTACTTGAAATAATTTATAAGAAACAGCAAGTGCGAGTTTCAGCCCACCATCTAGAAACCTCAGTGATGACTGATAAGTACTTCAAACAAATTGTAGTATACAAACAAATTCTAGAGAACAAAGTCTAGAGTATAAAAACAATAATATACAAAATGAAAACTAGCGGAAACAAAACTATATAAGCAGTAGAACGTTGAGATAAAAATTGAGCAATTTTTAACAGATTATACCCGGCATAACAAAAGCTATATAAATAGTCATACAACAAATTGCGCAGCGAAAAGTACTTCTAGAACATTTCGTAAGTGGCGTTTTGTCGTTACAGAAAAAAACATTGTCGGGGAACTCACTAAAAGCAGAAAAAACATAAAACTTTCAATACCTTTGTCATATTGTGTTTTGACAGTTTGTACAGAAAAGTGGGATGTTTTTTAAATGCGAAGTATTTCTTAGCGAACTTCGGTCACTTCGAGCGAATCTATCTATCTATCTATCTATCTATCTATCTATCTATCTATCTATCTATCTATCTATCTATCTATCTATCTATCTATCTAGCCGCTTACGTTAGGGTGCCCTCCTTTTTAACTTGGTGTGAACAAAAATTAACATGGGAGTCTAAGATGTTTGACGAATATGACGTGCTTGCCGAGACATTAATATGGTCACATCCCCGTCACGTACGTCGTCACACTATTCCCGCCAGATAGTGGCCCATACCCTCGGGCGGGTATGTGCCACTATGATTGACACTTAGTATCTACCCAGGAAGGACGAGAACACGCATAGGCAATTTCGTCAAAACTACCCGGTTCTCGGCCAATCCTCCAGCGTGGGTGTGTGCCACAGCTTCCAAGTACTTCCTTCCTTCCTTCCTACCTAACGCGGGAGGTTAAGGAATACCCGACATTGGTAGTGTCGACCCGTTGAACGCAAAGAATAAATGTCAGGGTCCCAGCTGGAATCGAATCCAAGCATTCTGCGGGGCAATGAGGCATTTTACCAGAGAGTTAAGCAATGTCTTGGAACTACTTTTCAAATAGACGCTAATCTTCGTGAAACATGTATAGTGGTTGCAGTTCTGCCTTGCCAATTATATTAACACAACATATGTACTACTTTGATACAGCAGGAACGTCGACTTAACGTCAATTTTGGTTAGTTGCCATGCGCAGAAGTTGATTTGTGTAGCAGTTTCCAGGGTCAGCATCCTTGTGAGCACCAGTGCTTCATATCTGCTTCTGTTGTTGCTAATACCCATTTTGTATTTAGCATCGTTGCGCAAGTGCAAAGAACTGGTAATGTAAACATCTGAAACGTTTCAACATATGTCTGTGCGTGCAAAATTTGATATTTTTACAAATATTTAGTGTCATTTGATGAAATGACGCTCAATCAAAGATTGTAACGCGGTCATCCTCCCTCCGCGTGCTTCGCATAACGTGGTTTCTGGGTACGTGGGATTTGTCGAATTTCTTAATATACAGGAGCAAAGCAGTTTTTTTAACACAGAGTTTCAGAACTGTCGTAATAAAACAGTTTTAATAAATGGCGCTTTGACAGACGGCGGGCGAATAAAGAAAAGATAATTGAGTTATGTATTTATGTACGATTGTAAACAATGAGTTTCAAAATGTTTTTAAAATTATTATCAACCCGACACTGCCATCGCGAGGAACAAAGAGCAAATAATGTGATTCCGTAATACTGGACACTGTACGCAAGAGCGAGCAAAACGATCACTTTAGATTGGTGGGTGCAATCGGGTTAGTATTTGAACGTAAGCATGAGATTTGCCTGGTCTGCCATAAATGTAAACCGTATCATCAATTTAAAACACGTGGCTATTGAGAATTACACTGAGATGTATTATAAAATGAACAAATTCAATGAAATTGCACACAGAAAGCGTAATCACAGACAAAAAGAAATTAGGGTGCATTGGCTCTTTTCAATGGGTTTTTAAAGAAAACGTTTTAAAGAAAACGTTTTTTTTTTGGAATTAATGACCAAGCAATGATTACGAACTATAACGTAGCCTCAAAACACTGTCTTGAAATAGTGACAACGCTTTATGATAACAGACGTGTTTGACTGGGATGCGCTTTTTCCGGTCTGCATCGGCAATGTATGAATCACTGTAGTTGAGATACCTGAACGCCGACATCTCCGTTGGGGTGAGCTTGAGCCGCTCCATCTAGCTGTTCTTGTGAGCCTCAGCGAGCTCTTGTCAAGGATTGTGGACACCCATGTCAAGAAGTCGTGAAATAGAAGACATGGGTAGTAGTCCGAAAGTGGCTTTGGTTGCCTCTCTTATCATATTATTGAGTTTTTCTAAGTTCGTGGTATTCAAACCAGGGTATAGCCTGCCGTACATGATGCGGCTGGTGACAAGAACTTGCATTATTTGTAGGGTGCCATGTTCTTTAAGGCCAATGCGTCGGTTCACGATCCTTTTGACGAAGGGTGCGAGCTGCGAGAGATTTCTTAGGAGTCTTGGTACGGCGGAAGCCCCCAATCTATTGTTGTGTATGCGACATCCGAGCACCCGTAGCGTATCAACTTTCGGAATAATTGTCCCGTTGAGGGTGACACATGGACGTGACCTTCGTACATGGGAGGCCTGCCTCTCGTCCTTGCTTTGAGTACAAGCTGCTGAGACTTCTCGGGGGCACAATTAAGACCGCAGTGTCGGAGATACTTTCCCATGCTGTTTACAGCATCTTGTAAGCAGCTCACGTGTCTCCCGATGTTCAAAACCTTGGCAGAGTGTGTGATGTCATCAGCGTATATGACGTGCTGCACATCTGGTACTTTTTCAAGAACCTTAGGCAAATTGATTATTGCAGCGTTCAACAAAAGCGGTGACATGACCGAATCCTGCGAAATGCCTTTTTAGGTAGTTGGAAGATTCGCTGTGGATGTTCCAGATGCCCTAAGTTGCTGTACGGTCCGTCAGAAAGTTTCTGACATACGTGTAGGTCCTCACATTGCAGGCGGTGCCTTCGAGGTTGGTGAGGATTGCGTCATGAGTTACGTTATTGAAGGCCCCTTTGACATCGACTTCGAGTATTGAGTACTTTGTTCGGTGACTGAGGTGATCAAGACGCTCTTCTTTGAGTAGTTGAAGCACGTCGTGCACCGAGAGGTGGTGACTGAAGCCGAACATTGTATCTAGTAGGTGCCAAGTATTTTCTAGGTAGAGGGTAAAGTGGTCGTGTACCGTATGTTCGAATATCTTTCCCACACACGACGTGAGAGAAATTGGGCGCATGTTCTCAATGCTCTTAGGTTTGTTAGGCTTGAAGATCATGGTGATCTCCGAATGTTTCCAAACCAAAGGCAGCTCTCCTTTCTCCCAGCAGTCGTGGTATTATTGTACAGGAGCTGTGGTGGCCTGGTGCGGTAAGTTGCGCAACTGTTTGTTGACATTCCGGTCTTTTCCGGTGCTGGTGTTTTTCGTTACCTTCGATAGGGCTGCGAAGAGTTCTGCCTGCGTGAAGGGCCGGTCGAGGTCAGGGTTTGGTGTTCCCGGTTATTTTTTGGTGTTGAAGACGCGACAGTGGGCGCGTCTACGCAAACATTATTTACTAATTCTTGTAGATGATGTTCTTTCGATCCGGCGTATTTGTGAATAAGCTTGGGAAGAGATTGCTTCTTTGCTGCTTTGGAGGGTTTCGTTTACTTAAGAGAGTGTAGCAGGTGCCACGTTTTCTTGGTGCTAAGAAAGCTCTTTAGCTTGTCGCAAAAGGCGCACAGGTGCTGCCTGGTCAAATACTTGGTATAACCTTGACTTTGCTTGGTGAGGAAAGCGATACGTTTCTGTAGCTGCCTGTTAAGTTTTTCGCCGCTTCCACCTCTTGAGAAGTCTTCTCCTAGCCTTCAAGAAGCGGGGAATGTGGGCGTCGAATGCGGGTGTGTCGCTGTTGAGCTTCATGTTTTAGTCTGTCGTTCGGCTGTATCTAGCGCCTTCTCGAACCACTATTCAATGTCGGTTATAGTGATTTCATCAGCGAGATCATCCCTGTAGAAATTCTATGCAATTAAGCATGCTATTCCTGCCTTAGTCTATCTACGAGTGTGTGGTACACACTCGTAGACAGGCCAAGTTGGAAGATATGGTGATTACTGCATAAGGTTTTCGGTAGCGCACTCCACTCTGGTCGGGTGACATAGCTTTATAATAGCTATGGCTACTGACCACATTTGCACGTTCACACAAAATTAGCTGGTGACTGATTAATGGCGGAAAGGAACATGAAGAAGTGAGGAAAAGCAAGGAAGTTTGCACACTGTATGTCCATCGTAAGTTACATGGACTGAAAAGTGTTGCTAGGAGGTACCAGATCGGTGTGCTGTTTTCGGCACCAAATTGCATTGATGGCATCTGCCCTGCAGTCAAGCGAAGTTTGGAGGACAGCAAGGTTTCCTCCGGTGCGTGGGATGTCAAGCTCTAGGCCATATTTGTTTCCTGTAAAATGTCGTCACGTCTAAGATGCTACTGTCATGCGGAAAGAGAAGTACAGGGAAGACGGCGTGCTATTCTTGTGCGCCTAAAAGACATGAAGGAGCCAGCAAGTCTGATAGATTGCCCACATTAGACCACACTGCAGCGGATGTCGTAGTAACACCTGCTAAGATGAATACACTATCATTTCTCATCATACGAACTACCTTTTCAAAGAAATTGTCGAAACCTATACCTAATACATTTGTAAAAAATAAAAAAAGTTCATTCGCCAGCCTCCAGTATCATTGTCACAGAGACTTGCTTCTAATTTTCGTTTGGTAATAACGTTTTTTATTGAGCACGTGGCTTTGGTGTACAATCACAAAATTCCCTCATATGTTTTAGTTCACTCTTTATGTTTATCGGTGCGCACGTGACTCTTCTTGTATACAGCTACATTTTATTTTTGATAACCCGCTTATTGTGAGTCAGCGCTTCTCCTGTTAGTTTCTTCTTCTTGGTTTTAATGTTGTGGCCATTTTCCAGAGAACACATTGGTGGTGGTCGCTCAGAACATTGAAAGGCCTCCCTTATAGGTAAGGGCAGAACATTGATGTATCTCATAGACCTAATTATAGTGACAAACACTTTTTCTGTCATCCAATATTTTGACTCTGCTTTGTTGGGGGACCACTAGCGTAAGAAATGGCGCTTTCATGAACTGCCTTTCATAAAACAGTTGCGACCACTGTTATAGCAAGTTGACACTTCAGAAATGTAGTGAAAGCACAAAACGGCCTCGTATTTGCATGTTACGCTGCAAATGTCGTCGTAAGACGATAGTCTTGCGTTTGAAAAGAGGGAATAAAATGTTTATTTGATCTGCGCAAGAAAATCGGTGAATGGTATTCTGAAGACACTCTGTTGGATTGCCCTAGCATGCAGCGGAGGCGAATGAGTACATCAAATCTAGTCACACGTGAGGCATGAGCGCTATCTTGCCGTTTTCTTGTTGAACAAAGCGCGCGGCGTGCACGCCCGTCTCGGAGGCGATAATGTTTAGAACGCAACGCGACGGGTAGGTGCCACCACCATGTCGTCTTAGCAAAGCGTTTGCAACACTTGCCTCTTCGTGCAAGTGTTGCTTCGTCAGCGCAGCGTAATAAGCGCTATGGTCCTTATAATTACTTATGTATGCCTTTTCTAGTAAAACGATGCACATACAGAATATTGATGTGTTCTTATGGTGCCTCAGATAAGCGCAATAATCGCTTTTTAATTGACAATTGCACAAGTAGGAACGCTAAATTTTGAGCATTATTGGCGGGTGCTGCGGAAGGGGTTGGCCGTTTGGGGTATCGTTTGGTGCCGTTATGGGTATCATTAGGGGAGACAAACAGAAAAATGTACAGACAGACCAAATTTTTTGCGTCAAAGGTCATTAAGAAAGCCTATTGTCTTTCAAACGCCAGAAAAGCCAGAAAACCACGACCAGTGTGCGCCGAAGATGATCACATTTTTTGTTCCCCATCCTGACTCTGCTGCCGTATCTACTTTGAAAATTTATTCCCCAAAAGACATCGTGAGGAAATCCGAATGCATTTCTTTCGCCGAGAGAGGGCACCGTTGTGGTCAAACATTCACCTACAGTGTACTAAGTAGCTATAATTCACCTTCACCGACATTTGCCATCACTTTAAGAGGGCTAGGCTAGCGAACGGTCGAGAGTGAGGCGCAAGTGGACGGGAAAGTGGGGCGCAGGGAGAGAGAGACGAATGGCGAGAAAAAGAGCGGCGAAGCACTGTGCTCGCGTACACTTTCTCGCACCACATGCTCCGGTTGTTAGGGGCGAGAATAAGTGGGTGTGCCCGCTGCTGTTAAAATGAGAGCTGGAGGAAGAGTTGATAGATAAAAACTGCCCGCGCGCGGTCACCACCACGGATCTTACCGCTGGATGCCTGACATAGTCCGACTCAGAAGGCATTCGCTTTTACAACGCCAGAGCAGCCGAAAACCACCACCGCTTGCGTCGAAGATGGTCACATTTGTTTTTCCCCATCCTGCAGCCGCTGCCGTCACTGCTTTGAAATTTATTTTAATTCCGCCTGCGTTATGAGCACCAAAGGTTGTACTTAATTCTAGTTATTCACGCAAAGTGCTTAAAATAAACAGGTCACACTTAATAGAACGTTGCTTCAGGTGTATATGCCAGCTGAAACGACAGGATCGAACGCACCAGCAGCGGCGGTGGCGGATTATACCACCTGTAAACAAAAATAAGACACGTTCGGGCATGCCGACTCAATGCAGCTGCGCCGTCAACTTCCAGTGCTCTCGGTGTTCGTAATCGAAACCAGGATCTTAAAGAACACGTCCTCTTTGAGGTCGCCAAGCTTTGTCGTGCTGCACGGGCAGTTTGCGATTAAAGCCAACGCAAGCCACCGCTGACGCCTTCGTCACCATGCTGAAGTGGTGACCAGCTGATTGAATCACATGGTTTGAATACGTGGTCAAGTATTGGCAATGCCAAAATAGGTTATTCATTTTGGTTGACAAAATGAAAAACAGGCACATTCACTACTTTCAAATACTAAAGTTGTAACGTAGAAACGCCCCAAAACTGCTATAAATTGATTTATATACAATTTGTAGCAGTTTATACAATTTCTACAAACACGCCCTTAAGTGTATCAGTAGTTCCCATTGCATCTTAGAGATGGAACTTCCTAGATTCACCGAAGTTTAAGGATGACATTTACGTTCCATACCGGTGAAGGTGACTCTTGCGTGGGGCTGTGACGAGCTGCCAAGAGGCAAGGACACAGATTGAGTTTTTGAGCAGGCGCAGCTCGGAAATTCACAGAATGCCATCAGCGCAATCTATGGGATAAAGCATTGACTACATAGGCAATCCACCATTTATCGGGAGGGGGGGGCGGGGGGCATTTGTGAAAACAAGAACTCTCATTTTGTACGTAAAAGCGCTTGACGGGTGCAATACGCAGACCGGATAAAATGAAATTAAGGTTGTAAGTAGCCCGGCTACAAGCTCTTACAATGTAGCGTTAATGTGCATCCTTGAAAACAGACCCACTTCCATTAAGTGTACGAAACAAATGACTGCACATTTTATTCATTTTTTAAGGAAAAACTTTGTATAGTGATATCTAGAGTATTTAGACATGAAAGCGTAGCTAGTTTGTGCTGGTGACAACACCGAACACTTTGGGGCCCTTCCTTGCACTGAAAATTTGTATGTTAAATTGGCAAGCTTGTAAAATCAGGTTTTATTATATTGAACATCTGTTCTTTACATGTTTGTTGTTCAGCCGGGCACAACAACCATGACAAAGTTAGAAGGGATGTCTCGGCTGCTAAAATTTTCAATGCCACAACACAGCGACAAACTGGTAGATCAGCCACAATGTTAAGCATGGCGGCATAAACTCATATCCGACACTCAAGCAAGATGGTTTGATATTAAGCCCTTCTTAGCAAAGTAGTACAAGATCAGCAGAAGGGCCAAGTCTCACTTCAATGCATGTCCTCCCAAACCGTTTTATGAATTTCGCAGCGAGAAATCAAAAAACCGTGCTACGGATAATGGTTTACCATTGCCTATTAGGAGAGTCGTCTTATCGCAGTCAACCTGAGCCTGTGATGCCGCCACAAAGATCATTGATATTACAACCAAGAGAGAGTATTTCATCGTGTCTGCTTCTAGACAGATTGTACAGAATCTGGAAAAAAGAAACATTGATTTTCGACATTTGCTTATAGAACAAGAATAGCATACTCAGAGCAAGTTGACAAATTACAGTGCTAAAGGGGGGAAAATAGGTTGAACACAGCATAATCACCAAGAACCTCTGAGAAATGAATTGGCATGTACATTTTGAATGCTACAATATAGCATTGAGGGGCCATTAAATGCGAAGCATTTCTTTGTGTACTGGAAGAAATTTTGGCATCTATCTATATATCTATCTATCTATCTATCTATCTATCTATCTATCTAATAATGATGATGAGTAGTTTTTAGTGGCGCAAGGGCCAATTGATGGCCAAAGAGCGCCATTTCAATTGACTACAGATATGAACAATGATATGGTGCGTGGCTGTAAAGGGGCCTTAAAATTCCTCGCTCTAACACGGGTTAAAACATGAAAGTAATAAATCATGACAGTGGCGTGACATATGTGTAGTGATAGCGGATGGCAAAATGTCATGATAATAAAACCATGATGTAGATGAAGTCACCGCAGCCATGACCACTCTATAGAGGTCGTGCTACGAATGACCTCTAAATATCGGGTGAAAGCTTTGCACATCTTTTAAAAACATAAAAAGTGTTTGCAGTTTAAAAAGCGGATCTCTACCGATGAGCATCCCAGGGTGTAGTGAGAGCTGCTGTCGGTAGGGCAGTAAAAAGTGCTTTTTTCTTAGAGCATCTAGCTCATTGCACTGGACGAGAATGTGGAGAACCGTAAGGGGCTCTCCACATCTCTCACAATATGGAGGATCACCGGTAGAAAGAAGAAATAAATTTGTAGAATCTGTATGTCCTGTGCTAAGCCTTGTTATTATTACTTCTGTGTGTCGTAATTTCGACAGTGACGGCCAATAACCTTGTTGAGGATTAATAGCATGGAGTTTAATATCTGTGTGTTTATCCCACATGCTCTGCCAATACCCCCTGAGCTTTCGTTTTATAAAAGGTTTTGGGTCAAGTGCAGGGACTGGTGTTGATGTATTGGCAGTAGTGACATTGGCGCAAGCAGCCAGATTGTCGGCCAAAACGTTCCCTTGTAATTCACGGTGCCCTGGAACCCAGCAGACAACGACATGCTGTTTTGATGTGTAGAGTGTGCACAGAAGTGAGTAAAGTGACACCAGCACGGGGTTCTTGTGTTTTTAGGAGTTTTCAGGGCTTTGACCACGCTTAGAGAATCTGTGTATATTACCGCCTTTTGTAATTTTATCTGTTTAATGTGTTTTACGACCGCCAGTATTGCGTAAGCTTCTCCTGTGAAAATGCTTGCATTAGGATGAAGAACGCCGGCCTCGGAAAAGGATTGGCCTACCGCTGCATATGACAAAGAAGTGTTTGACTTTGACGCATCATTAAAGAACTCAGGGCATGTGTATTTATGTTGTAGTTCTAGGAAGTATGTATGTATGTGTGCAAGTGGTGCGTGCTTTGTGACATCAGCAAAAGAGGCATCACAGTCTATAAGCTGCCACTGCCACGGTGGCAGATATGATGCAGGAGCCATCAAACTGGGTTCAAAAAGAGGCACACCTGATTCTTCGGCCAGGCTCCTTACACGCAGCGCGTAGGGCTGCCTAAACGAAGGACGGTTCTCGAACAAGCCAGAACAAGACAAATCATTAGCTCTGAAATGGGAAGGATGTTTCTTGTCTGCCTTCACCTTCAAAAAGTACAAAAAGGACAGGGAACAATGGAGCGACCATTCATTCGAATCCACGTACAGGCTCCCCACAGGGCTGGTGCGGAAAGCACCCGTAGACAGGCGAATGCCTAGATGGTGGACAGGTTCGGGTATTTTCAAGCCTGATGGTGTTGCCGACTGATAGATTATAGCACCGTAATTCAGGCGTGTGCGTACGAGGCTTTTATATAGATTAAATAAACATTTCCTGTCAGTACCCCATGTAGTGCGTGACAACACTTTCAAAATGTTCATTGTTTTTAAGCACCTGTCCCTTAATTACTTGATGTGTGGGATGAAGGTTAGCTCAGTGTCTAATAAGAGACCAAGAAACTTATGCTCGGTCTTCGCTGACAGAGGTTGATCATGCAGGTCAATGTCGGGGTCAGGATGAAGGCCCCTCTTTCGGCTGAACAAGACACAAGTGCTCTTTTGCGCGTTGAGTATAAAACCATCCTCGTTTGCCCATTGAGATACCTAGTTCAACCATAGTTGAACTTGACGTTGGCACATTGAGACGTTGCACGATTTGTAACCAATCTGCACATCATCGACATATATGCAGCAAAAAAATATTTCGTTGGAGAGACAGGTGCAAGGAATTCATTTTAACTATGAAAAGTGTGCAGCTCAATACACCTCCTTGTGGTACTCCTGTTTCTTGGACAAATACTCGAGATAAGACAGTGCCAACTTGGACACAGAATGTACGGTTGGACAGGTAGCTTTCGATAACTGTAAGCATTCTACCCCGCACACCTAAATGTGACAGGTCTCGCAATATGCCGAAGCGCCATGTAGTGTCATATGCCTTTTCAATATCGAGGAACACAGAAAAAAAACATTGCTTATGAACAAAAGCGTCGCGGATTTGTGCTTCGGTACGGACAAGGTGGTCAGTGGTGGACCGAGCCTCTCGAAACCCGCACTGGTATTGGTCAAGTAGGCCACTAATTTCAAGGAAGTGCATCAGGCGCCTGTTAATCATTTTTCAAAGACTTTGCAAATACAGCTGGTTGATGCTATTGGCCTGTAGCTGGAAACTGAGGCCGGGTCCTTGCCTTGTTTTAGAATTGGGATAATGATAGCTTCCTTCCAGGCTGAGGGTAGCTTGCTAGAAGACCATATCGCATTATAAAGAGAGAGGAGAGCTTTCTGGGTTTCAGTGGGCAGGTGTTTTAGCATTCCATATGCCACACGGTCCGGGCCTGGGGCAGATTTATTTCAGCAGGCAAGTGAGGCCTGCAGTTCAGCCAAATAGAAAGGTTTGTTGTATGCCTCATGTGTTCTGGGCTTGCGCTCTAATCTCTGTTTTTCTATTGGAGTTTTGTATCGTCGGAACGCTTCACTATAGTGTGTTGAGCTGGAGACCTGTTCAAAGTGCGCTCCGAGGGTGTTTGCCTGGTCTTCCAAACTCAACCCTTGTGTGTTCACTAGAGGAAGCGAATGTGCTCCTCGTCCTGCCACCTTACCAACCATGCTTCAGACTCTCGACTCATCTGTGTATGAGTTAACGCCCGATACAAATTTGTGCCAACTTTCTCTTCTCACCTGTCGGCGTGTCCTCCTTTCTTGCGACTTGACGTTCTTAAAGTTTACAAGATTCTCGGCTGTGGGCGAGTCTTTAAGCAACCTTCATGCCTTATTTTGTTTTTTTCGAGCATCACGGCACTCAATATTTAACTATGGGACTCGTCGTTTGCTTGACGGTCCACATGTTTGGGGAATACATTTTGTTGCGCATCAACCAAGAAAGCTGTAAAGTAGCATACAGCATCCTCTATGCTCAATGCCACCATGTCAGTCCAAGATGATGAAGTCATTTTTTGAAACTTTTCCCAATCAGCTTTGTCAGTGAGCCATTTGGGAACTTGTGCAGGACATGTATTTGTTATTGATGTGCTGATAACGATAGGAAAATGGTCACTACCATATGGATTATTAATGACTTCCCATTTAAGTAGAGGCAGGAGTGATGGGGATATTATGCTGAGGTCTATTGCTGAGTACGTATTGTTAGCGATGTTGTAATATGTTGGCTATTTCCGATACAGCAGGCATGAACCGGAAGAAAAAAGAAGCTGTTCAATCAGGCGACCTCGAGCATCGCAGCGAGAGTCGCCCCACAGTTTGCTATGTGCATTCAAATCTCCCAGGAGGATATAAGGTTCTGGAAGTTCCTATATGAGGGTCTCGAATTCATGCTTTTCAAGGCGGTGTTGTGGAGGTATGTAGAAACAGCAGATGGTGACGAGCTTATTAAAAAGAACTGCTCGAACAGCTACCGCCTCAAGGGATGTTTGTAGTGTTAGGTGTGTGCATGTAATCCCTTGATTGACTCTAATGGCAACACCACCGGATGGCACAATGGCATCATTCCGGTCTTTCCGAAAGGTAACGTAGTGACGTAAAAAGTTGGTTTGTTTAGGTTTCAGGTGGGTCTCTTGTACGCAGAGCACCTTAGGTGTATGTTTGTGTAAAAGTTCCTGAATATCGTCGAGGTTTCTCAACAGTCCTCTGACGTTCCACTCTAGTATTTGTATCATTTTAATGTAGTGTGGTGCTGTGTATACAGAGGTGTTGCGTTAGTTTACAGGGCCTTTTGAGGGCCCTGTGATTCGAAGTTTTTCTCTTTTGGCGCGCTCCAAGGAGTTGCACCTATCCTTCGGCCTCTGAGGCACCGGAGGAGTGGGACTTGTATCCATCACCTCTTGTGAGGTGGTGGATGGTGCCTGCTGGGCAGGCACATTCACTGAATTCTCGGACCTAACTGCGCCTGCAGTGGTCCGAGGTTCAGCAGACACTGGGGTCTGCCGGCCCTGGTTGTCAGGTGGCGGAGCAGTACAGGCTGCTGGCGATACGACCGCGGCCACACACTGTGTGACATTCGCGGGTGCCGAGGCATGTGGCGCGGCACCCCGGCGCGTGGAGAGACGCTGCTGGGATGCCGATGAGTGCAGACGCGTGCACATCGAGCTCCGTATGTTCTTGTCTTTTCTGTATGGTTCAACCCTTGAATCGTCCAGAAATTGCCACAGGCGTGTAGGGGAGATGCTCCGGTACCGGTGGACTCCAGTTTCACTGAAATCGAACCATTTTTCTTGTTTTTACGGCCACTTCTTCGTTCGCCCATGTGGAGCCTTCGCTACCTCTAGTGTCCAGTAGAGGAGCGGCGGCGACGACGCCGGGAGACGCTCGCCCGAAGACGACAACCACGGCGTTGCCGCGGTTGCTGACGGCTATGGACTCGACTGGGGAGTCGCAAACAGCGTCCGTACGACA